CTTTAGTAGTTCTTGATATTATTATTGGAAGAGCCTCAAATTTAAATGTGCTGAAAGTAGATTAATTGGCAATTTAAAAAAAATAAAATCTTTTTAAAAAATTGATATATCAAGCTTTTTTTTTTTCACAAATGAAGAGTTCATTTGCAAAAACAGATAACTCCATTTTTGAAGATTTTCAGAAAACGTTTTTTTTTTTGCTGTTTGCTTGAGATAATATCAATCAAACTGAAGTTGAGGTGATTTGACTCAGTAGAAATGACAAAAATAGAGAGAACTTTAGTTTGATTGATATTGTCTCAGGTAGATGATAGAAAAGTGGGTTTTCTGAAGGATTGTGAAGATAGAGTTATCTGTTTTTGTAAATGAACTCTTCAAATATCTTTAGAAATATCCACATCTTGCACTATAAAAAGATGTAATGATCCATTTTGTTGGCATCTTTTATATTCTTGGTCTGCTACATGGTAAATGAGGCCTTCGTACATCAGTGTACTTTGAATACGGGTCGAATGAATGAATGAATCATAACAAGACCTGTGGCCAAACGGAAGAATAATTGTGTCTGTAATAAATAGTAATGATGAACAAATAAATAAATCAAAGTGCCATTTTTCATCCAGGTTCTGTCACAGCGGCCTGCTTCAGTGTGACCTACGCTAAAGGGAGGATGTGTTCACATAAGCTGACCTCAGTGGATGAGTCCTGCTCCGTCACGTATCCCAGAGGTGAAGTTTCCACCACGCCGCACGAGCATTTACCCAGAAAATGTCTGTCTTTTGACAATGTCTCTGGGGAGTTACAGTTACTGTCGCGAAAGTGACGACAAATTTGCAGATGTGACAAAAAATCACACGAATGGCTCAGTATTGTTTTTAGTGCTACAGTAAGTGCTTGTTAAATCTATTCTTCAAAAAAAAAAATAACGTTATAAACGAAATAACGTTTTTTTTCAGTAGAAGTCCATGTTGAACGGGTTCCTGCAGAAGGCTACCTCATACTGACCTGTGCTACCAGCTGTACCCAGACGGACCCTCTTATTGCCTACAGATGGTACCACAACGGACGCTTGTACAGTCACACAGAGCATCAACAGTTGGAAATTTCCCGTGACTCTTCTAGACGAGCCTCTTGTGCTGTGAGAGACAATGAGGATCTGCTCTCGTATGAAGTCTGTAAGTACAAACCAACTTTTAGTCTGTGGTAACGTGAAATTTATTTTAGTTTGTCAGCTTGAAGGACCACAAGTATTCAGGCATTTTTTCGTGTGTGTTCAAGACGCATTACCTGTTGTAAATAATGTATTTGCATCTCTGATAAAGTCACGTAGCTACATTGGGACTAAAAAGTAGGAATATTTTTAATAAGCATTTGATTTCAGTTGCTGCCCGCATCAAATTCAAAACTCTGACACTTGCCCATGAAACCACAACGAGAACAGCTCCCTCCTACCTGATCCTTCAGGTCTACACTCCATCCCGCTCACTATGCTCAACCAACAAAAGCTTCCTGATACAACCACCACAAGGGGCCCAAGGTCGATAGCTGGACTCTTCTCCTCTGTGGTTCCCCGGTGGTGGAACGAGTTACCAAACTGTTCAATCTGCTGAGTCCCTCTCAGTCTTTAAGAAAAGACTAAAGACCAGCTCTTCGCTGAACACCTTTGCACTTGACGGACTGGAAACAAAAAACAAAACAAACTAAATCCTATTACCTCCCTACAGCCTGTTATTGTCATGAACTCACTTGACAGACAGGTGGACACAAATACTGGACACAGAATGGTTCAGGCAAAAGGCAGGTTTAATGACAGGCAGGGTTGGGTACACAGGTAGACAGTCACTCAATCAAAGGTATCCAAAAACAGCAGGCAAAGGCAAAATCCAAAAACAGAATTGAGGTCGTGATCCACAGGCAAAAGTATCCAAAAACGTCAGGCAAGAGGCAAGGTCCAAAAAACAGAAACGAGGTCGTGAACAAACAGGCTGTGACTTGACTATGATCACGCTGGTACGAGGACTGTGAAGTGTGACGAGACAGTGAGACACACAGGGTAATATACACGAGGTAATGAGGGTAGATGGGAAACAGGTGCGAGGAGGTAATCAGGGAACAGGTGAGACAAGACAGGTGCAGGAAGTAAAACTGGAAAACAAAAACACCCGGTGACGTGATTTCAAAATAAAACAGGAAAGACGAGACATACAATATAGACGGAGACTTGACGGACATGACAGTTATCAGCATCAACGCCCTATCACGCTTGAACTTGTTCTATGACGCTTATCCAGGTTGTTTTCTCCTGACTAGATCCTTGCTTGTGTTGTATCTGCTCTCAGATGTACGTCGCTTTGGATAAAAGCATCTGCTAAGTAGAATTGTATAACAAGTGTATTCAATCCTTAACACCAATCAGCTACTTTTGAATTTTTCAGACATTGGGGAGAAGAACAGATGGAGGGTGAATTACGTGAGCAGGAGAATCTGCACACTGGAAGGCTCTTCGGTGAACATATCAAGTGAATACCTGCATCCTGACAACCAGCCACCAAAGTTCAAACGGTGGTATAAAATCAAGCGAGGCGGCACAAAGGAAGCTGACATCCTGACTGAGGCTGCAGGTCGCGTGGAGTATCATGACGACACGAAGAACCGCCACATCCTGACTATTAAAAAGCTGAGGAGGGATGACTCAGCAGAATACGCATTCCGACTCCAGAACGAAAACGTAGAATGGAAGCACTCTGATCTACCTGGAGTGACTCTGGTTACCACAGGTAATGGTTTGCTGGTGGTGGGGCTCGATCTTGACCCGTCAGCACTGTCCCTGCTGCCATTAACAACATTTGTTCTACGTTGCTAATTAGAAGGACGCAGGTCAGATCTGTTCGGCCAAGTGTAGCCGATCTGTGAATTTTGAAAACCAGACTGTTGAAACAAACTCGACTTACCAGTGCAACAAAATCATCGCTCACATTCAGTCACAGTGAGCTCATTCACACCTGCATGCGCCCACTTCCGTCATTTGTCCTTCTCAGTGACTGCATTTAAAGATGGAGGTGACCCGTGTAGTTTCCTGTAGAGCCGATTTGAAGCTCTGTGTGGCAGCTCAGACTGTCACCATCTTGGCAGTGCCTGACTCTGCAAAAGTCCAAGTTAATTAAAAAAAATGAGCACAGAGGTGAAGTGGCGTGAGGTTGAAGCAGCCAGTGGACTGTCCTATGATGGCACTTGATGGCCATAATTATGCATAATCCGTTATACATTCTCAACAAGTGAGTTATGAAAAAAAATCCCCCCCATAATCGTCATGAAAGAAATTAGCTACAGAGACTAAAACTGATTTTTGTAGCAGTTTATAAACACGTTTATTTCTGCTGTAAATGTGGATTTTTTCACAAATGGGGGTCAATGGAGATTCACTCTTATTTGGAGGGAGCCTCAAGTGGACATTTGAGGAACTGCAGTGTTTGGCTCTTGTGCATGACTCTGACTCACTCAATGTAGGGTGCTGGTAGGAGCTTGGCATTGGCCACTCACATCAGGGGATTTTGTTTTTCCCTTCCAGTGTCGACATGTTACTGTTTTCTTTGGTTTTAAGTTTTGCCGAGGATTCAGATGTGCAGTAAGACGGCTCTGCTAGTGTTTTATTCACAGTGCTTGTCTCCCTGCATGAAAATGTTCCACTGGGACACCGAAGCCATTCTCTTTGCTTTGCTCCACTTTAGAGGACTGTGATCGGTTTAAAGAAATACAAACAAGACGGATCCTTTTTCCCACCTGTAGCAGAATGAGGAGATGCCACAGAATGGGCTGGCAAAGCGAGGCTACTTCTGCAATAACTTTAGCTTTCAGCCACGGAGGTTCCTGTTGATCATTCCGTATGCCAGTAGTCCACATACACTGGCCAGATTGTCATAAACATAAGTTACTGCATCCAGCGTTTTGCATTTATTACCGATTTTGCCTGTTGTTTGGCATTGACCTCTGCCTTGACCTTTGGTGCTGTTTGCCTGCCTGTGGGGTACTGTAACGACTAATGTGGAATTGATTGAACTAATTCTTGGCTTGGCTTATTGCTTTTTTTATTTTCTATGTGTTGTTTTGTTTTGTTCGGTCATATGCTGTTCTGTTTTTTTTTTTCGTGCCATGTCATGTCGTGTTCGGGTTGGAATGCTGTGGTTTTGTTATGTTTTTTTTTTTTTTGTTTTGTTTTTTTTTTGTTTTTTCTTGTCGGCTGTCGGGTTTTTCGGTTTTTTGATTGTTGGGTTTTGGATTGTTGAGTGTCGATTTTTTGTTTGTTGCTAGATGTATATTTTTTCACATCAGGTATTTTCTCTTCCAACCATCTTTCAGGCCTGACAGTCACAAGTCACTTTACTCAATGCGTGCATTAAAGCTTAAGCGATGTGCATGTTTTTAACATTTGGTGTCCACTCTCTCTGTCCTCCAGGCCTGACGGTGACCATGATTCCTTCTGCAGAGGTGACAGAAGGTCAGAGGGTCACGCTGACCTGCAGCACCAGCTGTCCTCTGACTGACAACACAAACTACATGTGGTACTTTAACGGTCGACCTCTGGGCCAAAACAAACACCTGCTTCTGGACCCAGTCAGCGTTCAGCATGCAGGAAACTACTCCTGTGCTGTCAACACCCACGAAAACATGACATCAGCTGAAGAGGCTCTCATTGTTCGAGGTGAGCGCGGCTCTTAAATTTAACTGGAACATTTGTAGGCGTTAGAAACCCTCGCATTTGGACCTCTGACCTTTTAATAGGACATAGACAGAGTTCAGTGTCTCCTGTTGGAATCTTTTAAAGTTTGTCCAACCAGTAACACAAACCTTGCTTCTGTTTCTCTCCAGCTCTGGTGAAGACAATGGCAATTATTAACGCAGTAAGACTGGCTGTTGGATTCCTGATCCTGATCTCTCTGATTCCCTTGCACCGGTGGAAGAGGTAGAACAACACCTCATTCTCTATAATCAGCAACTTGATTGTCCCTGATTTAAACAATAGTAATTAGAATTGTCTGACCAAACTAAATCCAGGAAGAAGAAAACCTCCACTACTGAGTGCAATCACGAAGGTGGACGGTGAGTGCTGAATCTAAAAACAGGAAACTTCTGTTTGTGTTTTCCTCTGTGATTGTGTTTTCTTTGCTCTGCAGACACACTTGTAGAAGAAGAGGAGCTCAGCCCCGGTCATGATTCCTGTGATTGAAGAGCAGAGCAGGCGAGCGGAGCAGGATGAATGTCTGTTGGGCTCTTTTTTTTGGCATCAAGTACTCGATCCCTCTTTACCTGCAACGTGACGCAAACGATGAAACAAAATAGAAAAGATCACAAAACTCATCCATCTTCCTTCCACCAAAGTCTGCAAATCTAAACAGTGATTAAGGTCACAGAAACAGATTTTCTTCTAAGGTGCAGATTTTTAAATAATGCACACCCACAGAGATTGGGAAGCAATGATATCATACCTCAGTGTGAAGCAACAACAATGGTGGATACTGTATATATACTGGTTTCTTTGTGTTTGGTTAGCACTGGCAATTACAAGTTACCAAATTAACTTGGCAATGCTGCACCGCTTTCCCAGTAAACAAAAGTCTATTTTCTACCATTGTTTTTTAGTTTAACCACTAAGAGAATAAGCTCACTGTTCAGGGTAAGAAAGGTTCCTGTGGGTTTTTTTTTTTACCATCGGTGTATCACCACCTACTGGCCCGTCTTGTGGGTGTAGAGATATTTTGTAAAACAAACACTGTGAGGACAGAGTTTTAAACAGATGGAAAAATTAGAAAAATATTCACAGTAGTGTGACGAGGTCTAATGTAAGCAGTGCTATACTTGTCTGACTTACTTTGAGGTTTTGCTTTTTGAGTTTTTTACAAAGATTCTGAACTTCAATATCAAATTTATATTCAGCACGTTTAAGTGAAATGAAAGTCAGGGAGGCGGGAACATTTCCTCTCGCTTAATGAAGTACAAGCATGTCTTAATAACTGGCACGATGAACATATCTGTATACAGAAGCCATGAGGTCACGTTATATTAATGACCAGCGTGATTTACTGTCTGTATTCTTGTACTCGTCATGTTTGTTTCTTGGGATTATTATGCGAGGTAAATGCTGTTGTTTTTTTGTTGTTGTTGTTGTATTGGGCTTTTTTTTTGTTTGTTTGTTTGTTTTTTAAATATCTGTTACGTTGGATGAGGAGCCGGTGGACTCCTGGCTTCTGCTGTGCCTTCTCGTCTCAAAGACAACTTGTACTAGTGCTTTGAAGATTTCCCTTTGTTTCAGTCCGGGCTGCAAGGTGGTTAGCACTGTCGCCGGTTCGCATCCCGGTGAGGACACCCGGAATCTTTCTGTGTGGAGTTTGCATGTTCTCCCCATGCAGCGTGGGTTCTCTCCGGGTTCTCCGGCTTCCTCCCACACAGTCCAAAAACATGTTGAGGTTAATTGGTGATTCTAAATTTGAAACGCATCTCCAAATGAATAATAAAATGTTTCATGTCTGCTGTTATGTCCTTCAATGTGATCGAACTGTTTAAGTCAATCATATCTGGACATA